CCTTCCTCTGCGGACTTAAGACAACGCAAGTTTCTGCGGGAACAGTGTTCCTAATTACCGCTGTGTTGGCAAAGATGAAGCTACGTAATTCTATGTAAACACTGACAAAGACGAGTAACGTCTCCTAATTAGTATGTGGTTATGACTTCTTCCACCCTTCCCGCACCTACACTCACACACAGGAACTCTGACTCGACCCCTGCCACCATATACAGGTGAGTACACACACACACACACACACACACACACACACACACACACACACACACACACACACACACACACACACACACACACACACACACACACACACACACACACACACACAGGGGGGGTGGGGGAGGGGAAAGTGTGTGTCGACAAGTGCCTTTGACAACTGGTAACTAAGGCGTAGCAGTGGTAGTAGTTGTAATAACATTAGCAGCAGCAACAGTAGTAGTTGCTGCAGGAGTCGCCGTGGCGTCGACGGCCGCAGAATCAGCAGCAGAAGCAACAGCAGCAGCAGCACTACCACCACTATACCCAACCCTTCACCACCATCTCGTTTGCACTATAAACAATAGTTTAAAATTAATGCTGGTTTGATGAATATTCAATAACGGTAAACTGTATTCATGTAGTTAGAAGTACACAGGACACAGCTTAAGAACTCAGGTCATGAACAGTAATGTACAATTATGGCATGCAGATGAAACCAGAACACCCGGATGAGCAAGACACATTAAGAACTATACTTTATAAGACTGATTGTATTTTTTTTAAGTTTGAAGCCTAACTACTGCACGATAGCCATTAAGGCTGAATATCAAATATACAAGTCAAGGATATCCTGTTCCTAAGAACTGAGATTAACGCAGTCTCTCAATATTTAAACAGATGCACACGTCTTCAAGAACTACGCATGTACAACAGAGATTTAGACATAAAAGCAATCCTGGATGTCAGGTAAAGAAGTTCCGAGCGTGTGGCAGTAGTTCTCAACCTGGGGAAACAGTGTTAAGAGGCAGGTAAGATGACTTCCCTTGCTCTGGTTCACACCACCATTACTGCTGTCTGCCACGTAGTTCCATTACACTTTGTCTTCACTTACTGGTTATGTTGAGAATAATGTTCTAACCCTCCAACCCTTCCTCCGAACACACCCACCTTAGCATACACGTACGCACACACTGTAAAACGGCTTCTGACAATGTACCACACAAGAGACTGGTACAAAAACCAGAGAAGCTGGCACGAGCAACAAGGAAAACACTATAATGGATTAATTCATAACTGGCAGGAAGCAAACGACGAATGATGATCTGTGAGGTGGTGTCGGAATGGGTGTACGTGACGATTGAGGTTCCACAAGGATCAGTCCTAGAGCCGGTGCTGTTTCCTGTGTATGTGAATGACATGACAAAAGAGATAGAGTTAGAGGTATCCCTATTCGAAGACGACTTGTAACTAATGAGGAGAATACGAGTGGACGAGGACCAGGAAAGGTTACAGAGTGATCTGAATAGGTTACAAGCCTAGTCCAGCAACTGGCTCCTGGAGTTTTACACCACCAAGTGCGAAGTTATGAAGCTTGGGGAATGACAAAAAAGAACTCTGACGGAGTACAGGTTTGGGGAATAAAGACTGCAAACCTCACTCAAGGAGGACCTTGGGGTTGCGTATCATACCAAGTATATCTCCTAAGGAGGACATCAACCAAATAACTGTTGTAGCAAATGCGCGTCTGGCATATCTAAGAATAGCTTTTCGACATCTAAGTAAAGAGACATTCACGACATTGTACACCGCGTACGTCAGGCCCGTACTGGATTATGCAGCACCAGTATGAAACCTATACCTGGTCAAGAATATTAAAAATTTGGTTAAAGTGCAGAGGTTTGCAACAGGACTAGTCCCGGAGCTAAGGGATATGTCGTATGAGGATAGGTTAAGGGAACTCAACTTGATGACACTGGAGGACAAGAGGACTAAGGCAGAGATGAACAGGGACAGAATGTTGCAGATATGGGACACAGCAACAAGGGGTCACAACTGTAAGCTGGAAACTCAGATGAGTCATAGGGATGTTAGGAAGATTCTTCAGCTTTAGCGATATCAAGAAGTGAAACAATCTGGAGAGTGAATTGGTAGAGGCGAGATTCATACATAGCTTTAAGAAGAAGTACAATAAGGCTCTAAGGTTGAGCCTAATAGCGACCAGCGAAGAGACGGGGCCAGGAGCTATGAATTGACCCTTGCATACAAATATAGGCGAGTACATACCCCCCATCCACTACCTGCGACCATAAATAAGCGAGTACACACCTCCCAGTATACACCCCTCGCTAACGCGCGTGAACACACGCCTCCCTACATCTACGGACTTGACTAAAAATAACACACCCTGGTTTCAGAGAAACACAACTTTGTCAAATCTAATTTAATTCCATAACGAGATAAAGATCAAACAGGATAGAGAAGGATAGGCGGACAGCATACACCTGGAGTCCAGTTACGTTGTGAAAAAAGGAATTTGGTACAGTCGCTCGTAGGAAACTTAACATGCAAACTAGAAAGACAAACTGGACTGAATGGGAGAGTACGATGAGAGAATACCTCATGTACAGACGTTAAATAGGAGGAAGCAACATGTGGTGTACTAAAAAGTTACTCTTGGATCCATGCTATTCATGGTATACATACGAAGAATTAGATATGTGCATCATCTGGGTATATTTGTAGATGCGTCATCACCCTGTGGGTTTATTAATACATATAAATGGTATGCATATGAATGATCTCCAGGTTGGGGTAGACTTCTACATGTCACAGTAACCGGATGACGTAAAACAAATAAAAGATAGGTACACAAATAACTTTCACATGTGGAAAAGAGACTTACGACGACGTTTCGTTTCTGACTTGGACCGTTAAGCAGTCACACTGTAACTAGATATTGGTCCAAGTCGGATCGAAACGTCGTAAGTTTTTTTCTCCAGTGGGGGTTATTTGTGTATTGTTCCAGTCACGGTACTGTGCCTCCGTTTTCTTTAACAGAGTTAAAATGGACATAAACAAAGGATTGCACTATGTTACGTTATTATAATAAAAAAAGCGCTAAACCACAAGGGCTATACAGTGCACTATGTTACAGTGGATACAACAGGCTACAGAAATTGTCCAAGAAGTGGCTACTAGAATTTAGCCCCAGAGCAGGCAAGGTTATAAGAACGAAACCACAGAAAGCACGAGAATCACTAGAGACGGAGAGAAATCAAAGACCTGAAGTACAGAGGCAGGAACCAAGAGCTACAGCTTGACCCTTATTGATATACACGTTTATACGCCTCCCTGAATACAGGTGTTAACATGAATGTTCAGGTAGGTTTGCCAGGACGGGTCCTGGCCAGGGTCGTCTCCATGTGGTGACCCGCCAGTGGCTGCCGAAGGAGTGTCGGAGTTTGGACAAGTGACGCACCGTTTACTGCCCGATGACGAGGCACGGTGAGCATTCCTGTCAAGTGGAGTACCGCTTACAGCCCTATGACAAGGGCACAGGGAGGCTCCTTCAGTGGTGTAGAAGTTAGCTCTGATTCATTTGAGCCACTCCTGGTGACTCGGGATGTTCTCTGGGTGAGTTAACATCAATGAAGTCTATTGGTTTTGCAATGCTCACATTGGTTAACGCAGTACAGCATCAATGAATTTACAGGGACTGTGTGGTAGTAGTAGATGGAAGTAATAGTCGCAGTGGTTGTAGTAGCAGTTACTAGATGTCAACGACATTTGTCGACAAACACATGGTCTTTTGTTTTCTGTGTACGTAATCTTTTTCTGGCGCTGTTTGACTTATTCATCAATTAAATGTTTCCTGATGAATTAGACACATGTGTAGCTTCTGGGTATCTTTATCTGTAGACGTTTCGCCAACCAGTGGATTTATAAAAACAAGGACATAATGTGTCCTTGTCACGTGTTTAATTCTCCATCTTATCGGTATTGTATATCATTTAAGTACATAAATTTGTCCTCTTTGGGAGATGGGGCCATTATGAATCATAGAAATTTGATCGTATTAATAACTCCAGATCTACTGGAACGAAACATCTGAAGTGTCATAGCTACTGAACCCACAGTGTTATGCTCGTCTAGATCCTCGTCGCGATGCTGAGATTTACCAGTTCAGTATTATTACAACAACTCTATAACAAGATAAGCAATTAGACAAATTCGAAACACCTGGATATCTTTAGTTTGAAGACGTTTCGCCAATAAGTGGCGTTATCAAATCGAAACAGATATGATATGCGAAAACGTTATAGTGTCTACAGTTCTGCAAGGCTGAGGGACTGATTACCTCATTTAGGCTTCGTACGTCATCTCTGTATTGAATTGATAAAGCCACTGGTTGGCGGAGTATCTTCAAATAGATACCCAGGCGTTGCACATGCCTAATTTCTCTCCCAGCTCAGGTTGACACATTTCATTACCTCTTGTTCACACCCCGTGATGGTATGTGACGGGGAAACACAGCTACCTTTTATACCCACGGTGCAGCTATCACAGCAGGCAGGACAGCAGTACACTGTGGACGTACTCAATTTTCCTCACACACACACACCTGTTCATGTACACAAACCTCCTTGCTTGTACACCCACTGAAATTTATATTACCAGAACTTCACATGTGTACATGCAACACCGGGGCGTTTATTCTTAAAAGTACAACCATCTCTGTATATACGCATCTAATCGGAAAATGTACTTCCCTTCTGTATACACCTCCCGCCTGCTCCCCATCCTACCTCTATATGAATATATAATCCGACTCTCTATACTTTTACACCCTTAATGTACATGTAATTCCACCCATTGTATATGAAATCACAATCCCCATACCTGGAGTGCGATTACGAAGGTCGGCGTACGTACCTGTACACACACACCAGCCAACCATTAATGTGCACTAAGGCTCGTGAAGCCCCCACCTCTACACCTTCAACATGAAACATTACACTAACCTTGGTAGCCAGGGAGAGTTTGCGGCGCCGCAGGGAGTGAGGGTCGGGCACCCCTAGTTTGTCGGTGGCACCCTCCCTGCTCTCCATCTCCTCCCCTGAGAGAAGCATGTTGGAGTCTTCTAGCGTGTCGATGTGAGTGAGGCTCTTGCTGCGACCCTGTAAATACCAGAGGAAAAAAAAACATTAATTAATGACTACACTTATAAGAACATATTGTTCAGAATATAATTCTGCAAGGTTGAAGATTGATTACCTCGTCTTCCACTGTCCTCTTATCTTTTGTGCCGAGCTGAAAAAGCCATTGGTTAATGAAACGTTTAAACAATACCCAGGTGTTGGAAATGTGTAATTCATTCATACCAGGTGTCGGTATTGTATACCACTGATTTAATGATACATAACAAAAGAAGGGAGAAACACCCCACTAGGCCATACCTGGTAGGTTCTTCTCTAATCCAACCATTCTCATTCAAATGCTTGTTCACTATTCTTAAAGCTACACCACACTTGTGACAAGTGTTTTGAATAGTGTCCCCCACTGGTAATATTTCTCGTTTTGAAAGTTCTCATTGTGTACCACGTCATTTTTCTGACATTCGCGGCATTTGTCTCATTGTGTTCTGTATGTGAAAGGTCCTCCGACATCATTATATCAAAGTCCTAGTCATGGACCGGGCCACAGGGACGCCCACCGCCTGAGGAACACCCTCCAGGTATACTCCAGGCAAATCTTTCCCATGTTCCTTTCGTTCTATGACCATCTTGTTTTCATTATGAATTTATTTTTTTATATCTGAGCATTTCGAATTTGTAACGATCGTACATGCTATTTTCCAATGCCCACCGGAAGACTTAGTTACCAGTATATCTCCCTGTAATTTTTCTCTTTCCTCTGCTGAGACTATCAAGCTTATTTTGTTATCGGCCGTAAAGTGAAGCGGTAGCTGATGTTTTTAAGTCTGCCATGAGAGCGAGACTCAATAAAAATGTTGGAATCATGCCATGTAATATTGAACGTTTTACTAAACTGAAACTGAAGTTATTGTTGTTTAATGTCACTCCGCTGCGTTTGAAAATTAAATATCCATTACCCTACTGGTCCCGTAATATCTACTATCTTTCTATTGGATATCACTAAACGATCGCATCTGTCAAATACTTTAGGGAAATCCATGTCCACCACATCTGTGTTTTACGTTCCTTTCAAAACCTGCATGACTGTCATAATAATCTAACAACTGCGAGAAGAATTATCTTCCCGCTCCATACCCAGGCTGTATTTGGATTTTGAGTCATACTTTTCCACCCTTTCGAAGTCTTTTATTCTATACGATGCTAGTGCTACTAGTCTGGAATTTATCGTGAATGCTCTACTGCACTGACCTTAAATTCCAGACTAGTAGCACTAGCTCTGTCTACACCTTTCACGTCTTCTTGGTATACCTAAGTCTCAACTCCTACAGAGCTCTCGCGCTAGTATCATGCAAATGATAAACAGAATTCGAAGAATCAGGTCCAGGTGGTGGAACTGGGAGGGTAATACTCAGAGGTTGCAAGCCAAACACTCTTATGCATTCATTAAGGACACTTGTCAAAGAGACGTTTCGCCACGAGTGGTTCCTTCAGGACTAAAGAAGCCACTCTGAGCGAAACACTGCTTTAATTTCTTGATTAAAGAATAAGTGTGTTTTACTTTCAGAACCAGATATACACACTTCGTCCGTCCACATGTGTGTGTGTGTGTGTGTGTGTGTGTGTGTGTGTGTGTGTGTGTGTGTGTGTGTGTGGTGTGTGTGTGCGCGCGCGCGCGCCTGTCTGTGTCTGTCTGTCTGTCTCTCTCTGTCTCTGTCTCTCTCTCTCTCTCTCTAAAACAATTTCAACATTTATCTAAGCCATTTAACGTGGTAAAGTCGCTCACCTACGTTATGAACGACAAAGGCTCCTTAATGACTTGCTCATTAAAGGGGTGGGAGAATTTCAGCGTGGGAGGGGGAATAAATGGTGTTAAATAGGGAGTATCTGCGAGAACTAAAGAAGGAGCAGCGGTGTTATTAAATGATGCAGCTACCTGAGGTAACTTACAACCACTGCGACTAGCCGAGCATAACCAAACACATAACTAATAAAAGGAATAGAACATACACGGATAAACCCCACACGAATAAATCATACAACACGAATACCATCATACGTAGATCAAATAACCAGCATCGACACAGAAAGAATGTAAAGACTTATTTTTACCATACACAAAACTGGTCAGTAACATTCCCTCCTCTCTTCTAATTTCTATTTTTGAACGTTTGTAGCTAATCAGAAGAGAAAGTTGACAGCAAAGAAGCTGACGCCTATGACAGTCAGAATGTGTCCCACAGACTCGTGTGTAACACTTGGGTATCTTTATTTTGGAAATGTTTCGCCTAACACTGCCTTCATCAGTCCAATACAAATTAGAATGGTGAAGATCAGAAAGAATTTGAGGTAATCAGTCCCTCAGCCTGGAGCCGATGTAATTAGCCTGCCAATCTTGTTGGTTCTCTGAACCACTTATATACATGCCAGAAGGTGTTCACAGCAGATGGATATAACAGATTGTGTCTGATCGTCAATGAATATTATCAAAATGAGGGTTCGTTCAAGGAAAAGGTGCCAGAAACTCGCATCCTACCGAAATTTGTATAGCATCTTGCTAGTCCTACCCTAGGCCTACTTACTGGGGACGTGTCTGTGTGACCCACGTAGCCACTGAGGCACAGGTCTCCTAGAGAGTTCGAAAAAAGCAGCCATCACCACGGCATCCGTCCGTTTATTTCCTGGGACATCAACATGGCCCGAGACGCCATCATAGCCAGACACATCATCATGGCCAGAGACGCCATCATGGCAAGGCCACCATGCGCGAAAACGAGTTAACCTTTCTCCGATCTTTGAGACCATATGCTGGACAGTGACAACATACACTAGTTGGCGATACTACGATAGAAGAGAGACGGTGGGAAGGAGACCGAAATGGCGACTGAGACGATGAGCTTCGGATTGAGAGTAAGATAGTGATGGGTGATTCAGGAGTCATTCACAGTGCCAACTGCCAGGCAGCCCGTGGGTGGCACCCACCTCAGGCAGCCCGTGGGTGGCACCCACCTCAGGCAGCCCGCGGGTGGCACCCACCTCAGGCAGCCCGCGGTGGCACCCACCTCGGGCAGCCCGCGGGTGGCACTGCAATTTCTCTAACTGAAGATGTCAGCTTTAAATCACTCTCTCCCACCCGATATCCCTCCCACCAATCCCTATTCCATTCCACAGCCCTGTCCATTCCATAACCTCGTCCATCCCATAGCCTCGCCCATCCCATAGCCTCGTCCATTCCATAGCCTCGTCCATTCCATAGCCTCGTCCATTCCAAAGCCTCGCCCATCCTATAGCCTCGTTCATCCCATAGCCTCGACCATCCCATAGCCTCGACCATCCCATAGCCTCGACCATCCCATAGCCTCGACCATCCCATAGCCTCGACCATCCCACAACCTCGACCATCCCACAGCCTCGACCATCCCACAGCCTCGACCATCCCATAGCCTCGTTCATCCCATAGCCTCGACCATCCCATAGCCTCGACCATCCCATAGCCTCGACCATCCCATAGCCTCGACCATCCCATAGCCTCGACCATCCCACAACCTCGACCATCCCACAGCCTCGACCATCCCACAGCCTCGACCATCCCATAGCCTCGTTCATCCCACAACCTCGACCATCCCATAGCCTCGACCATCCCATAGCCTCGACCATCCCACAACCTCGACCATCCCATAGCCTCGACCATCCCATAGCCTCGACCATCCCATAGCCTCGACCATCCCATAGCCTCGACCATCCCACAACCTCGACCATCCCACAACCTCGACCATCCCATAGCCTCGACCATCCCACAACCTCGACCATCCCATAGCCTCGACCATCCCATAGCCTCGACCATCCCACAACCTCGACCATCCCACAGCCTCGACCATCCCACAGCCTCGCCCAAATCACTGTTGTATATTGGTACACGCACGGCGACATGCGCCGTTCGTTACTTCAAACAATCCTTCCAATTCGCGTATAAACACAGGCAGTGTATCCCTGGTTTAGAAACCTAGGGCCGCCACCCTCATACCTCTAAAACAGTGGTCATAAGGGCCTTCTAAAGTGTTACAGAAGGCCCTTGTGATTCCCTTTAAGACCAATGGCAGAGGCCAAAAAATTATTTAATGTTAAGCAAATGATTTTTATATGTTGAAAATCCACGGAAATTTACTGAGACAATAAACAGGTACTAATACCATCTCCTGGGTTACTAAGTAGGTACTGATACCATCTGCTGGAGTATTAAGTAGGTACTGACACCATCTGCTGGGGTACTAAGTAGGTACTGATACCATCTGCTGGAGTATTAAGTAGGTACTGACACCATCTGCTGGGGTACTAAGTAGGTACTGACACCATCTGCTGGGGTACTAAGTAGGTACTGACACCATCTGCTGGGGTACTAAGTAGGTACTGATACCATCTGCTGGAGTATTAAGTAGGTACTGACACCATCTGCTGGGGTACTAAGTAGGTACTGACACCATCTGCTGGGGTACTAAGTAGGTACTGACACCATCTGCTAGGGTACTAAGTAGGTACTGACACCATCTGCTGGGGTACGAAGTAGGTACTGTTAGGATTCGGGTCTCGGCTTAATTTCACTGCAAATTTTTGCTAAGAGTCAAATGCGGAGGTTCAAAATAATTTTTGTATGTACATTGTAAAAGTCGTCTTAGACAAGCTACCAGCCCTCTCAGACAAGCTACCAGCCCTCTCAGACAAGCTACCAGCCCTCTCTCACAAGCTACCAGTCCTCTCAGACAAGCTACCAGTCCTCTCAGACAAGCTACCAGTCCTCTCACACAAGCTACCAGTCCTCTCACACAAGCTACCAGTCTTCTCACACAAGCTACCAGTCTTCTCACACAAGATACCAGTCTTCTCACACAAGCTACCAGTCCTCTCACACAAGCTACCAGTCCTCTCACACAAGCTACCAGTCTTCTCACACAAGCTACCAGTCTTCTCACACAAGCTATAAGTCTTCTCGCACAAGCTGCCAGTCCTCTCACACAAGCTACCAGTCT